ACTGATGCAGTTGTAACAGTATCATAAACTAGATCATGTGACTGAGTGAAAGGGGCAAGTGGGCTAACTAGTGGTATGTCTTGTTAATTAGAAGTTATTGTCCCCCTGACTCATCTGCAGGACCGAGACCATATAGACATATGTTTACGATATTTTACAGATAAAAATTCATCTGCACATACAACCTAAGAATGGCTGAATGGACTTGCAAGGAATTTGATGCTAGGTATTTTACTAAAATTTGTCAATATAATTCAATTTTAATTAAGATCTGACAGCAATTACAGGCACTTTGTGTGAAGTCTTACATGTTTTTCCCACATGGGAAATTTCCTTGTCATTCACAAAGCTCAAAGGGAAATGCATCAAAACTGTTATGCTGTATGTACATATTCTAATGTGTTTCCAGCTAATTATTTCTGGATTACAGACAGCCCCAAAGAACTCACATTTAGACTTAGTTGGCTATGGCCCATTTTTTTGTTCTGCCTACAATACGAAAATGCCCTTTGCATATATAAAAATAAACATTTGCATGCCCTCACCTTTGACAAAATATGCTTACTTTGTTGCAGTAGCTAAACACACTGCATTGGCTTCTAGTATTGAAGGATGATTACATGCCTCTTCAAACCATTCTTTAAACTGACCAAATGGTTCTTTTCCTTTTAAATCTTTCTCTGTAAATATTTCTGATTTCCCCTTGTATTCCTTCCTCATGCCTGAAAAGAAACACTAGTAATTAAGCAATATTCATTTCACAGAACTATAAAAAAATCTACCTTTTATAAATATCAGTGAAAATAATCTCTCCTGCCATCTCTCAACACTATTTGTGGCATTTTTACATAAAAAAGATAATATGGGCATGGTTTTAGTTAAAAAACAAAATGAAAAAGAATAGGGTTCTAGTGGAGTACTGTAAGACTTTAACTGACAAATATGACCACGTCAAATTTTAAAAGAACCACCGCAACACTGTTTCATGAGTCTACCTAACCTATACTTACCTCCTATGTCAACATAGAAAGGGGCATTCGCTCCGTACATTTTCACGCAATTTAATTTCAAACGCTGTCGTCTTCCTGTCTCTAAAACCAACATATAACTGATATTAAAACGTTTTACAGACAGTATATATAGGTGCAGAAAATAGAAGTTTTATTTTATTCAAGCACAACTTGCACTTATCGTATCTAGATTGCAATTCATGCACACTAAATAAATGTTCCACGTGACACTGAAGGATTAATTGAAATCCTCAAGCAAACACAAAATTGTTTACAAAACTATAGCAAACGTGATAGCAAACTAATCCAGAACCAACATAACCTGTAATGCTATTACGTATTGCTTCTTTCGTAAATTGTCAAAACTATTAAATTTGGTAATTTAGAATGCTCTCATGTCTGTCAGTTAAAATGAGAGAAAAAATTAGGTAGATTAACACAGTATGCAACATTTTTCACTCACAAACCACTGGACTACAAACGTCTCTCAAGCGATGATGTAGGTTATGCATAACAGCAGCATAGTTCAAGTAACCTTGTCTTTTTTTACCCCTTTTTATTGGACTTCTTAAAAACAATTTTACTTCCTTATTTTTTTTTATCCATGTTTCATTAACATCCTTAAATACTTGTTTAAAGTAGATCTATATAAAATTATTGATATTACTAGTTACAGTGATAGCATTACTGACACCTGAGAAAACATTGATCATTCTGTATTTTGACATAGTTCATCATGTTAGCTGGTTCTCTCACCTGTCTGGTCCAAGAGATCACATAGGATCATAAATGTTTTCATTCAATTACATCTTCCACTAAAAACTAAAAATGTGTTGTATTAAACAAGCATCTGTATGTATGTTCACCCGGGAAATACCAGACACATCTTAAACCGATACATTTTTAAAGAATTTTAATTTCAGTGAAATGTCTACAATTTGCTAATATGCTGAAGTAAAATTATTCAGATTCAAGTAGACTTCAAAACAAAACTTCTCTCCAGAAACACAATACTCTTGTAGGTTAGAAAATTTCACAAGCCACATCTCCAAAAGGATCCAGAAGCATACTTATGTTTGAAAATATAACATCTTCTTGAAGCTGTTCAGCATATTTTTTCTATTTGACAAAAACTGTGACAGGCACTGAACATTCCTTTCGACTTTACTAGAGGATAACTTACATATTTTTTCTCGTACAATTTGAGTGGTTTAAGAAATTGATGATGGCAAGAAGACTGGAAGTTCTATGACAGTGAAAATGTCAACTGCTGTTTTCTATATGACACCACGGAGTTTTGTAGGTAGTTGAAAGTCAGGCTGGTAGACCCACAGTATGATGGTTTAATTAACTTTTCCCATATGTCAACAATGTATAGTTGCAGTGTCTTGCAATACAGTCACTGAGCCATAGTTTTTCTACTGATAATGGCACAACTGTTACAATAACATCCGAGTAATATCAAGAAATAAACAACTTTCATGATATAACCTCATTCCCAGAAAATGGTGCAACTGCCCTTAGTGCTCAAACATCAGTCACACCTGAAGGGCTTGTTCCCACATTATCATATTTCAAGAAATGTTTGTCAGATGGCCAAACAGAATTTTAGATTTAAGTGCTCATTTCTTCTTCTTGTGGTATCATTAATAAACTTTTAACTAGAAGTGTGAGTTGTTGGTTGTTGTTGTTTTGTTTTTGTTTTGGCTAGTGGGCAGAAAGTGACAAATTCACAATAAAATTCACTTGTTGTTTGCTGCATTCTCATGCAATAAATACTTCAAGTTACATCACAGTATCGCAACTACATCCCTACAAAAGCATCAGAAGAAAAATCATGCACTTGCTTACAGAATAAAAATTTATTATTTGAAGCTACTGGACTAGAACCCATGGTAACCAAATAAGAAATGGAAATGTGTGGAAAGCAACATGGACATATAAACCCAAAGCACTTCAGGTTATCACTAAGTAATTAAAACATAATAAATCAATGTAAAATTAGACACTTACTTGCTGTACAATGATATAGTAAAAGCTAATCATCTTGTTCTTAAGACATTTCAAAATTTTAAGTGCGTAATCTAACAAAGTCTCTACATCTGTCTGTATCCGTCTTCCAATAACTTCTGCTCCTTAGTTTCCTCCCATGATTTTCATACTCTACGTGTAACGGCTTTCTTAACCTCCTGCTCCCATCTTCATCTGGTCCCCCTCTTTTTGACATTTTTCTTTCACTTTAATATTCAAAACTTTCTTTCGATTTATCCTTTCATTTGTTATATTTTTATAATAAATGTTAATATAAAAATAATTGTTTTGCACAATGTACTGCTTTATTTTCCATCACTGTAACTGAAAAGTATAAAAAAAAAATAATCAAATTGTTTTATTATTGAAAGTTAACAAAACTTACATTAACTCTTGCTTGAAACATTATAAATTATTTAAGAAGTAATTTTTAACATTATGTTCAACAGGGGTTCTAACTGACCAAGCTAAATCAAAATTAAATGCACTGATCATCTTCTCTCAAACAAGCAACAATAAATTACATTCTTTTCCATCATCGGGGCCTGAAATTAAATCACTCAAAATTAAAGACATCTCTCACAATGCATTGTTTGTATTCTGCACTGTATATTTAATAACTAAAAATAAAACCATGATTAGCTTAATTTTTATTTAATAATTATAATGCACTGCCAGTAAATGATCCCTCCCTAGATCAGTATCAGTACCAAATGATAAAATCTTTCTGTTCACCACGAAATTCTGCTTACAGTAAGGGGCCATAGGGGTTAAGTTTACATGTACACTAATTCAAGATACTTTGTTCTTGTACACTAGAACATAGGCATGGAAAACACTTTTGTAAAAGGTCAAAATGATTCAACGTCGTATCTGACAGGACTAGAATACAGGCTTATAAATTAATCAAGAATATTTCACAATCCAAAAGCAGTGTTTATCATTTAAAGATTTTTTTTTTTTATAGATGCATTTATGTCACTAACAGTCTGCAGAAAAAAATTCTTCCTCATTTAAAAATTTCATAACCCAAAACAGTCACTACAATTTTGAACTTTCTTTTCCAAATGACAGAATCCTTGAAAACAATCACTTTTATTCCAAATGATTTGTAAGAGTCCATGATTATTGTTACGTTGTTGATCAGAAAAATGTATTTCTGCACTACACTAACCTGGTTTCTCAAACTTTCCAGAAAGTTGCCATATTTTTGCAGAATGTTCCAGTGTCCCTAAAGAAATTTCAGAAATTCTATACAAATATTAATGTGAAATTACTGGAACTATTAAATACAATTCCAGTCCCTTTGGCATAACTCTTCAAATAATTCAATAAAATTAAGAGTTCAACACACAATTGACCATTTCCCCGTGGCGGTAACGCCATGTGAATAATAGAATATTTATTTTAGTAGGCATATTTATATTTATAAAAATCCATAAAAAATTATCAAGATGAGAGATAAAGGAATGTAATTCTATATTATCAGAAACCTGCCTTCAATGAATATAACTTCCTCTACTTCAGCTTGAGAGACATACTGTGTATCAAATCTCTTGTTACTGTACATACAAAAAGCTGAACAGAGCATATGACGTTATGTCTGTGCGATCCACAGAATTTTACGATCTCAACTGGGCAGCTCTGTCACTGCTGAAACAAGAATTACAGTAATATAACAACTGAAGAAAAATATAATTACTTGAAATAAGATTCTATTTCTTGCAGAGTTTTCCCCAGTGTTTCGGGTAAGAAAATATAAACAAATGCAACACCAGCCAATGACATAACACTGAAAAAAAAGAAAATTCCTCCAGCTCCAGTAACATCCAACACGAAAGGAAAACTTTTCACGACACCGAACATCAAGATGTAAGCAATTCCGACCATGAAACCGCCGCCAATCCCGCGGATTTTTATTGGCAGGAGTTCTCCTATCAGGGTCCATGGAATCACGAGCACCCCCAGAGAACAAAAGCAAACGTATAACAACACGCACACTACACACGTCCAGTGTTCCCCCTCTGTAGTCACCACAGTTTCTGTTCTGTTTTCTGAGTTCAGAAATCCTCCTGTGTATTCAACAGGCTCTATGTGCAGGTAAATACCTACAATTAACGTTGTAATGCACATTCCCAGTCCCGACAACATACTCAAAGGTCGACGTCCAAATCTATGAGAAGCTACAGCTGCAATGATGCTCATTACAAACCTGAAAGAGAAGAGGCTTATAAATTATTCAATACTAAGACAAATCAGAGAGATCATAGCATATTTTGTAATCTCATTAATAAGTTACATTTTTATCACTTAACCAGGACCAAGTACATGGAAACTCGCCATTATCTGCAAGATGTTCTCGTACTACCTAAACAAACTAAATAGTATTAAAAATATATTAAAATTGGCCGTCAATCACAATATAAGATAATTAAAAGATTAAAATATCATTTTTCGTTCCTTATCGAGTACTCGATTTACATGTGGAACATTTACGACATGTTTCGGCTATCAATAGTGCCATCATCAGGTGTTATGTTATAAACTTTTTAACAAAATTACTGAATATTGAAACCTTTACTTCACAGTCCAATATACACAACATTGGCATCACTACGACATACAATCATATTAGTGACATGTGACACAACAACGGATGAAGATACAATATGAAGGACGAGAAAATGATAAGAAAAATGAAAACTAAAAATCATTAAAAAATCAGTAAAATTCAGTAATTCTGTTAAAAAGTTTATAACATAACACCTGATGATGGCACTATTGATAGCCGAAACATGTCGTAAATGTTCCACATGTAAATCGAGTACTCGATAAGGAACGAAAAATGATATTTTAATCTTTTAATTATCTTATATTGTGATTGACGGCCAATTTTAATATATTTTTAATACTATTTAAATAAATCACAATATGACGCACCTACAATATCTTCTAAACAAACTAGTCGTCCCTTCCAGAGAGAACTCAGGATTCCTAACAGATGGTACAATTGTAATGTATATGAGTTCCACGCCATGATACTATCAGCTTTATTTCCATTATCTTTTCTGTATTATCTCAGTATTATTGTTTGTTTATCAACAATTACAGAATTTAATGTTTATTCTTGTTATCTACTACAGATACATTTTCCAATACTTTGTATCTTACCAAATTTATGGAATAAGAGATTCATACAGGATACTAAAAAAAAAAAAATTCCTTTATGTTTCAAGAAATTCCACATCCAAGTAATGTCTCGGATATAACTAGACTTACGACAACAAACGAAGGACGCTTACATGTACAAAGACGAAGAAAATGTTAAGTGATTGTTGACATGCTGACATTTAGATAAATACTGACCAATGCAAGGGATACGTCATTGTTTTTTTTTTAGTAACAAAGATAGGGGTCCATACCTGATAGGTATAATAGTTCAAAATACAACAAACCTTATCAGTCCCAGGAACACGAGCGTGTCGTACTCATCAAAACCTGATCCAAAGTTTCCCCCAACAACCTTGAAAACATTGACAGCATAGAATATGACAACATAACCTCCTGATAACTGTTGGAACAGGAAAATGAAGAGCAGTATGACAACCGGTTTTAGTGTCGAAGGCACAAATATGGAGTTTGAGAGAAATTTAAGCCCTCGACCTTCATTCCTCCTATTCCGAGTCTGTTGTGCTGCTTCCATTAGTGTATTCATTTCCTCTTGGTAACGCTGAAAAACGTATATTCTCTTGTTAATTCGTGTTACTGACTAATGAAATACTTTAGGAACCTCAGCACATAAATTGTATTTTAACACAGACCAGAAGAAAATGTACCTTAAAATATGATAATATTATGAATGCCATCAACTTGGCATCCAGCTTACCAAACGTTATTAAGATATCACTTTTCCTACGTTAACACACTACGATGCATAGCGGAATAATGCAAACTGCCCAGCTTCGTTGCATACTAAAAGTTTTAGAAAATAATTCGTGACAATACGCAACAATTTTCGCAGACTTTTAAAAGTACGTAATACTTCACATTTCTGAATGGAGGGCTAGACTCACGTTGCCTTCAGTTTGAATAACTTTTTTTTTTTAAAAATAACACCTTGCCTCCTCCTAAAATAAAATCCCAGCATTTGTTCTTTACCTGTGGATGTCTGTTCAGCCATCTTACTGCTGCCTCTAGAGAGTGTCCCTTCTTCCCTCTGTAGGAAGCCAGCCAGTGGGGGCTCTCGGGTACTAGCCACAGAATCATAAAACTGAAGGCGGCCAGGACCATAAACCACACTGCCATCCCCCTCCAAGAAAACCACTGTGCCAGGACACAAGTGAGTAGGATACCAAAAGACACAAACACGCTGTTGAGGCATAACAGCATGGGACGGATTTTCGGATTCGCTACTTCAGAAACGTACACTAGAGCCACTGTGGACAAACCTGCAAACAGATTATTCTCTGAAAATGACTGTCTTCTGGGATGTAGCACAATGTAGTCTCATTGAAAATTACCAACATTTCAGGGGTATAAAAATTCTGGAGCATGACCTGCACCTTGTCGAGGTGGTGGGGCTTGAGTACCTCAGTGACCCCATGAACTACTGGTAGGGCCTCCCTAGGGGGAGAGGTCAGACTAAGACAGGTACCCTGGTCCTCCAGGTTAGGGGTTGGCTAACAACCTTGCACCGTAATAAGGAAGATGTTTCGAAACCTCGATCAAAGCCTCGGACAGACAGACCTAACAGAGGACCGAATGGAAGAGGAGAACTGAGGAGGCCATGGACCGAATACGGACCGGAGAGCCATAGAAGAAGATTGTTGTCTAATCTTAATTAGAAATGGAATATCAAATTCTGTGAACATCTGTTGAGCCATTCTTTATTCCTAACATGTATACAGACAGAAGCACAGAGAGATTTTAGTAGGCATGCCCCAGGGGTGTGAACAAGCCTCAATGAATAACATAAGTACATATACTGGAATGTAAATTGGCAAATTAAACAGACTGCAAGTTCCATAGATTCCATTACTTCTTATTCTTCTTCTATGGCTCTCCAGTCCGTGTTCGGTCTGTGGCCTCCTCAATTCTCCTCTTCCATTCAGTCCTCTGTTAGGTCTGTCTGTCCGAGGCTTTGATTGAGATTTCGAAACATATTCCTTTAGCCAACCCCCAACCTGGAGGACCAGGGTACCTGTCTTAATCTGACCTCTCCCACTCGACCAATCCGGCTAGGGAGGCCCTACCAGTAGCTCTTGGGGTCACTGAGGTACTCAAGCCCCACGACCACGACAAGGTGCAGGTACCATTAAGTGGGGCATTACTTACTCACATGGTCTTTAATGGAGGAAGAAATAAGGCCATACAAACTAATGGTTAAAAAGAAATACTGTATATTTCTCAATAACAGTTGGACTTTTACCATTAGATGAGTACATTAAATGAATACACTGCTTTGCATTTATTCTAAGTCACAGTAAATATTCTTGGCACTTACCCCCACCCACCCCTGCCAAAAGTCGTCCGATATAGAGCATTCCGACGCTCTGCGCCAGACACACCAGGATCCACGCCACAACCAGCGGCACACAGCTCAGCTGACACGTCGTCTTGCGTCCCAGTCGATCCATGAGGGGCCCCGTTACCAGGGAGCCGATGAGCGTGCCGATGGTCACCAAGCTTGCTGTGAAGAAATGGAACAGGCATCAGTACCAAAGGAGAGAAAAATACCAACACTGCAAATAGATCTGATTTGCTGTAAATCGTCCAAGTTTGAAATGTAATAACATGGTAATCATCACGTTACCTCACGTGTAACGGAAAGCGAACATCCAAGAATCAATCAATATACAGCACACACATTAATAAACCAGAATGAAACAGCCACAGGGACATGATTTCGTTGTTATTATGAAGCAGTACTCGACTCGCATCAGAAAATTCTTTTGCCCTTGGTGTTTCGTCGTGCAGTTCCTGCCAGAAGCTGGGAAAATTCATTGGTCAAATCATTGAATCAGGCCTGGTCATGCACAAGTTCAAGAGGAGAGGGTTCATTTACCTACCAATCCACGAGCTCTGATCTTTCGTGGCCGTCAGAATGCTATCAGGCTCCGTCAGCTGCGGCAGCAATACGGCCGAGTACGCCATGCTCACCCCAGCCTGTATCACAATACTGTGTGCCACACAGCTTGCCAGTACCTGGAAGTATAATATTAAAATGGTTGTAAATGTGTGAACTAGACTTGACAGGATCTGGAGGTGATATTTTATTGTAACAGTGAAGAAAATTTATATAAAAATATAAATAAAATTAATTTTTTTTTAAACAAGAAGATTTCTGAGTATATTTATTTATTAACGAGGAAAAGCCTTACGACGGTGACTTAGTTAACTGATACGTAAATACAAAGTACCTGAGGCACTGCGTCCTTCCATCGTGGTTTTACTTGAGGCACTACATCAGGCCTGTGTCTGCAAAAATAACGAGAACATTTTACATTAATCCTTTCCTTGTGCTCCAATGTTGGTCTTCTCAGTTCTAATTCCATATGGACTTGTAAATAAATATCAACATTTTGTAGGAACATACTGCCTCTATCTTCAGCCTATCCTTTGTACGTTGGTCAAGATCTGCATTTACCTGGCTAAGAGCGACAAGATATCAATCAATCAATCAATCAATCTGTTCTATAACAATTTATTTCTGAATCTTTCAGTTTTACTTTCGTTGGGAAGTGGATGGGGGTGGTATTTTCTGAAGTCAAAAAAGGATCCGTGCTTCAAAATGTTTGACAGGTGCTGAATCAGATATATCTAAAGATATTTAAAACTGTTGTGCACAAATTAAGTTCAAATTTCGGGATACATTAAGATCAAAGCCTTCTTACATTATTTCTTCACTGATATTAAAAGAATCTGGATTTTCATCGTCCACTTTCTCAGTCTCTACTGGCATCTGCAAAGAGATACACACGTTAAGAACACAATGGTGTTAATATATAATGCACACGTAAGAATGCTTATGTATTACACTACCAGTTATGAGTACAGTGTTACTATGAAACGGGAGAGAAAATAGAATTGTACAGCGTCTGTCATTAGAGTGACATTTTAAATTGCTTAATACACAACATATTTAAACCATAAAACTGAGCAATAAATCCTAATGGTAAATCGAGAATCAGAAGAAATGGAGATAATTGTCTTCTGAGACGTTGCACCGCGTAGTTCACGAGAAATTCGCCATTGTTTCAGAAGTGCTTGGTGCCTTAATCATCAGGACAATGACAGACGATGGAGGCAGTACGTAAACACCTCTGAAACGTCGGTAAACTACCAGACTTCATCTTAATTCACGAAAGTACCCAAAAAATGCAGCCAAACAGTTGTAAAGTTTGTTTCTCAGGGCCACATACGCCTAAAGTTCGCTCAGTGGTACAGAAATACAATCAGTCATTTATAAATTCACAGTTTACGTTACTATTAAATTACACTTTATAATGAGAATATATTAATATAATTCTCTAAGGGTTTGTGAAAATGTTTGACTCATTATGGATCTACTAATTATGTTCGGCATTGCCCATTGTTAGGGGTTTATTTATGTAAATGAGGTTAAGATCGAAGTTCCAAATCGAACCCGGCATCTTTTTACTACGCCAGTGGGCTAGCCCCTCGACAACCAGTGACCTCAAGACGAAAATAAATCTGACATCGTGTATTATAATAATGTAAAGATGTTCCCGTTCTATTATTTGAGACTTTTGTTTGACGACGATGTCAGAAGCTCGCATTATCTGGCGTCGAATTGGAGATAAGTGGTTGCGACATAATTTGAAGTAGTATCTTTCCATTTGTATGGAGGTTCTGGGGGAAAACGATAAAAATACTTCAGACATATTTGTCTCCGAGTCGAGATGTGAATCCTGGTACTCATCGAAGCAATACTACAAGGAATTCGGCTACAGAATTCAGTAATATTTAGTATTTATTTCTGGCAGAAATATTTAGAAAATATAATCTTAATTATCACCGTATATACAACCTGCTTTAACAATCACCAACTCTGCATTTTGGTTTCTTATAATTCTCTGATGAAACAGAGTTTTTTTTTTTTTTTGTAATGGTGACGAGTTGAGTTTTCTTTGAGGTACGGACTGAATTTTTAAATAGTATTTGGACGAGCTTTGTGTTTCAAAGGGTTAAGATTAGCCTTGTGATAATAAGTTGTATTTATTTATCCATTGGTTATTTAACGATGTTCTGTCAACTACAAGATTATGCAACGTTGAAAAAACAAAAATATTTTTATGTACACATTAATGAGAAAGGGATATGAATAAACTGTGGTGGCCTATTTCAAGGACCTACAACGGCATTAGTCTGACATGTCTGATAGAATAGCGGTAACAATGCCCACATTTTAGTCGGATATCTCCAGTTACCACTGCTCCAACATGCACTATTAGTAAAGGTTTACGATTAAACAATGTGAAATGTAACTTCATCAAGGCAGGGTCCAGTGGAAAGCTTTTGATGTGACGGTGACGAACCTTCAGGTTCCGCGTAAACTGAACATTTCTGTAACACTTGTACCAA